GTGAAAGAATCAGCCACAGCAATTGGTGGAGTATTAGCCACAGTGACAATCAAATAACCAGTAGATTGGAAAATTCCATCTGTAGATCCATCTGAATTGGTATTGTTAACATAATAAGGAGCATAGTCCGTTCCAACAAAATTTGTAGCAGGAATATAAATGACATTATTGTCATCCAACATTCTAATTTCTCCTCCGTAAAGAGTTTCCAGTGAGGTAAAACTGAGCTTTAAAACATCTCCAGATGTGCTGTAATCGTTGGAGACGACATTCGCTGTTACATTGGAGTTCTTTGAACAGTAAGCAGTATCATTGACAGCAACTGGTGCAACAGGAACCACATTGATGGTAATCTTGGCAGTAACAACATCAATGGTGTCAGAAATCTTAATTTGGAAGCTTTCTGAATAAACAGTTCCACTCTCTGGTGTATAGATCAACTTGTAAGTATTGGTTGTCACTGAGTAAAAGTCTTGGGTTGGGTAATTGACTTGGTCAATCGCAGAATATTCAACAAGTTGGAAAGAGCCTCGACTTGGTTTTGTAAGCATTGAAACATAGACTGTATCTAGCATGTCTTCATCTGTGTAGGACAAATCAAGAATGTTGTTTGTAGAATTCTTTGGTACATTGAAAACTCGATCACCACCTGTTGGAGGAGTATTCACAATTTTAACAAACACAAAACTACTTCCATAGAGAGAACCATCAGTAATTTGATATTCCCATGAGTCAATTTGAGGCTCAATTTGTGGAGGTGGTATGTATGAAATGTTTTGCTTATCATCAGATATGACAAGAGTACCAACAGAACCAGAACCAGCAGAATAGATGGTAATAGTATCGCTATTGATATCGTAGTCATTGGCTAACACATTGAGAACAGTCTTTGTGTTCTTTGCAACAACAAAATAGTCAGGAGTACACACTGGAGCATCATTGACAACTGTAACTTTGATATTGGCACTCACAGTTGAATTACCATCACTGACTGCGTATGTGAATGAATCTTCACTATTGAAACCAGTGGGTGGAGTATAATAAACATAGAGAGAATCATAGCTAATGGAAGAGTCATTCACAGCTGATGATCCAACACCAACCACAGTTAAAGTATCACTAGTGTCAGGATCAGAAATCATTCCACCATTATCACTGACATAGCTGAAAACATCAAATGCATTCTTAATAGAATTCTTGCTCACAGTATACGCCAAATCGATCAATTCAGGAGCTCTGTTTAAAATCTCAATATAAACTACAGCAGATGAAACACATTAGTTATTGGTAACATAGTAAGTAAATGTATCGTTACCAGCATAAGAGCCACTGAGGTATAGACAACTTTTCCACTTCCTGTCATGACCGCAGTACCATGAAGAGGTTGAGTGACATTCACCAATGTTAAATTCAAGAACGAGGATCAACATCATTCGACAATGGATAGATGGTAAAAGGAATTTGCTTGTACACTTGAGCATAGTCATCTTTGGCATTGGGGGAGCTATTCCAGCTGAAACAATGACATGATGATGGTTACAACTACAGAAGCGACCACCATGGCACTGATAATACCACCAACCACTGACGAGAAATAATCACAACATGAACACAAGTATAATATGTTGTGAGCGCAATAACAATGTTCAACAAAAGATGACAACATTTGAGAAATTTCGAAACTTACCTGTTTGAGCAATGGTTCCTCCTTTCTGTGAGAGAGGAGTTATGGTAACGACCAAAACATGGCATGTAAAATCACCATTGTTAAATAACAATCAAGAAATATGTGCCATCATGCATGTTGTTCACAATACATGAACAAAACCACCACATAAAACGTACCAACAAGGAAGGATTAATGCCAAAAACACTTCTACCAACAGTGGTAGAACCAAGTGTAATTTGTTCTGGCATTAGAAAAATAAGTTCAAGCAAGTACTGTTGTTTTTTCTAAAATGTTTTTGTTCCCAAATGTAAAACTGTCACCTGTTGCATTGTGCACAGTAAATAAGGTGGACAAGAACTTGCATCAGAACTAGTTTTCCTTCAATTCTGTTCAGCTTCAGAATGACAGATTACCTAGAGAACACAGCAGTGCGCAGATTCAAACTAAGTCTAAATGGCAAATGTTGTTCAATTTGAATTCGAAATTGATAAAGAACTTGCTGAAAATCGCATGTTTGGAGTTTGGATGCGAGAACTAAATTTACAGCGACAATTTTCATTTTCTAATTCAAACCGACACAAAAATTCAACACTCACCATCATCACAAGGCTGCGGTCATTCAATAATAATTTTAACATCATCCTCATGTATAGCAATACCAATTAATATTGTGCCAACACAACCGTTTCCGGATCTTTGGGAAAAGTAGTTGTACAAAAACCACTCGGAGCAGGGCAAGCATCATGGTAAACTGTCCCAAAATTTTTCTTGTGGGTTGTCTTTATTCAGAGAGATTTCGCGCCATATAAAATTTGTAACGGTCATCTTGACAAAAAATTCACTTGACACCAGGCCAATGAACTTTTCATCATAACAACAGCACAGCTCTGGCACGAGATACGTCAGTCTGAACTTGAGATGTCAATGATACGTGATTACATCTCTCAATTTTAGACGCATCTACAACAATCCGAGATGACGCGTTCCTGGTGCTTCAGAGCTATCTCCTCAAACCAATTTACTACCTCCGAGCTTTTAGTTCTTCATACAAAAAAACCACCTCCATTGCTAACCGACGAATTATTAGTATTCAAATGCCGAAACGGAATCAAATTATTCAAACCCCAATTTCAACGGCCACGAGTCACTCGGATGAAGAGTCAATGACGGAAGATGTTGAGAAACCATTCCAGCCCAACTCGGAATTGTCATCGTCTTCCATTTTTCGTTGGTGCTTTTCCATCAAGTTTTGTTTATCCTTTCTGATTGCCGTGTTCATCTTGTTTGGAGTGGTCATTATTTCTGCGGTATGGCTTGGAACTTTGATCCCACCCAATGTGGTTCTGAGTCAGGATGTCAGACGTGCTGATTTCAATGGAATCATTTCCAAGATTTCACGTACTTTGCAAGAAGTTGAATTATCGACAGAAGCCATGAAAAGTCAAATGAATCCCTTGTTGGATTTTAATGATTTTGAAAAATTTGAACTGGCTCTCTATTCTGCATACAAGTATGATTTTCAGAAAACACAAGGGTTGGTAAAAACATCACATTTTGGAGACAATAAGGGTAATGGAATTGGAATGACCATGATTCCTAGTATGGGTCCAATTCTCTTCAATTTCACTCCAGCTCAGGCAGTTGTTTACTTTTGCAATCCAGATTTTGACAAGTATGACCATTGTAAGAGAAATGCAGCACCTGACATGGTGTCCAGCTCTGGAAGCACTGCAGATTTTATGAATCGTTGCAATGCCTACCCAAATCTGTCATCATGGTTTCAAAGTTTTGTAATGGAAACAAGTGTGAATTTTGACACTTTTGTAAACTTTGTGACTTGTTTCAAGTTGGATGTGCCTGATGCTAAAGGAAACAAATTTAGACAATTCTTTTACAAATCTTTGACTGTGGTGAGCTTTTCAGAGTATTTGCACAATATGACCATGACTATTAGCGGTTCCAAGAGCTTCATTGTCGAACTTGGTACTGATTATCTATTAGCAAGTAAGTTGTGAAGCGATTTACTTTTTCGAATTTCGAAACTAACATTGAACAGTCGACAAACCTGACGTAAAAATGACCATCAAAA